GGCAGCCTGTAATGCATTTGGGCTCTGATGTTGTGAGGAAAGCTGTAAAATAAAATGGTTCAGATTTTTTTGGTATGTTATAAATTAATCATTCCCATAAATTTTCTGTTTTAAGTTTTATTTGACCATGTGAATTTGTTATTTTTTAAATGGGGCATTTGCCCATATAACCCACCCTAGGTTAAAGGAGTGTAGCTCAATGAGAGCATGTATCTTACAAAATATAAAGGTGGCAGTTCGATTCTGCCCACTCCTATTGTGATAGTCACCATGATCATTGGCATCAAGGAGAAAGCTGTAAAATAAAATGGTTCAGGTTTTTGTTTGGTATGTTATGCATAAATTAATCATTTTCATAAATGTTCTGTTTCTCTAAATTTTTGTTTGATCAACTGAATTTGATATTTAAATGGGGGTAGGGTTGTCAGTGAGCAGACGTGCCACTGACAAAACAGTAACCCAGGACTCAAAACTCTAAATTCAGGGAAAATCCAAAACAGCAACACAGGTTGCAACCTCTCAAGTTGCAGAATTTTGGACCAGTTGCAGACACAAACTTTATTCTAGAGAGGTATAACACAATGCAATCATCACACAAGTGCCAATCCTCATCAGCAATCAATGCTCATATTGAAACAGTCAGCCTGGCCTGAGGAAAAGATAAGAAAGGTTTTGTTCAAAGCCTTTCAGCACGTGGGTGGCCTTCACTTGTGGAAGAAATTCTACAATTATGAGGGTGTGTGAAAGCACTAAGTTGCATGTTTGTGAAAATTTTAATTAAATCTGACACCTGCAATTAACATCAGATTTATTATCCATAAGGACCTCTAATTGATAATCAGAAAAAACATTTTTTTTGTGAACCAAGAGATCTGGGTAGACAGGCATTATTAAGAGTTTCATTTGTGCATGTCCTTGGTATTATTACTACTTGGGTAATACAATTTTTGTTATGTCAATTATGATATCAAATGTATTGCATAATAATCATGATTATCATGAATATTTGATGGAGGCATTCACATACAAGGAAAGGATTAAAAAACAACAATAAAGATAAGTAATGTTTTATTTATTTTGAGAAGAATATATAGTGATTT